AATATTAGCAGTTAATTTCATTGGTGAGTGGCACAAGACAAATGAATAACTGATAATAAGAGTATATTAAAATATTCTGCTGAGCTTGACAGAAATATTAGCAGTTAATTTCATGGGTAAGTGGCACAAGACAAATGAATAATTGATACCAAGAGTCTATTGAAATATTTTGCTTATTCTAAAACAATTGTTTGCACTTCATATCTTAGTGGAAGTATACGCAACAAATGACTAGATCAAACAAATGTTACATCCTATTATTTTACCTAATTCAAAACAAACATTCGTAGCCGGTTTCATCATTTGAGCATTTCAAAACGAATGAATAATTGATAACAAGAGTATATTAAAATATTTCGCTTAAGTCAAAGCAAACATTAGACCTTGATTTTATGATTGAGCATTAGACAATGAAGAAATAATTGTTATTAAGAGTATATTGCAGTACTTTGCTCAATTGAAAGTAAACATTTACACCTAGTTGCATTGTTGAGTATTACATGACGAATGAATAATTGTTACTAAGAGTATATCGCAGTACTTTACTCAATTCAAAGTAGATGTTAGCAGTTGATTCCATGGTTGAGTGACACACCACTAACGAATAATTGATAGTAAGAGTATATTAAAATATTTCGCTGAGCTTGACAGAAATATGAGCAGCTGATTCCATGCGTGAGGAACACACGATGAACGAATTATTGATACTAAGATTCTATTGAAATATTGTTCTTAATTCAAGGCAAACATTTACAATTGATTCCGTAGTTGAGGAACACATGGCGAACGAATAATTAATACCAAGAGTATATTGCAGTACTTTGCTTAATTCAAAGTAGATATTAGCAGTTGACTCCATGGTTGAGTAACACAAGATAAATGAATAATTGATAGAAAGAGTATATTAAAATATTCCGCTGAGCTTGACAGAAATATTAGCTGTTGATTCCATGGGTGAGGAGCACACGACGAATGAATAATTGATAGTAAGAATATATTGCAGTACTTTGCTTAATTCAGAGT